CTGAGAAGGCCAGCACCTCCCAGATCTGTTTGGTACCGGCCACACGTTGCAAATGGCGATGCCACCGCTTACGCTTCTGGTCTTTCACAAACTTGGCGACGCTACCCAGACCTGCACCCTTGGCCTGGCCACCTTTTCCCGCAGGCTGAGAAGCACCGTGAGAACCTTTCTTACCGCCTGGCCCTTTGTTAGGACCCTGCGGAACCGCATGGCCCCCTTGTGGCGCAGACTTGCCTTTCGCTTTTCCCTTTTCGATATCCCGTTCCTGAAGCGCACGCTGCTGCCGCGACTGCTCGTACTGGTCGCGAGCTACTCTGACCAATTCCTGGCGCTCAGGCTCCGTGAGAACGTAGCGCATGTCGTCGATGTTCTTGCTCCGCAGAAAGTCATGTCGAAGCTTAAGGACAGAGAGAATGGCTCGGCCAGTCTCCTCCTGAGACGCAAAGGCCGTGTCATATTCCGAGCCAGGCTGAGGAGCGCCAGCTGGATTAGTGTCCGCTGGCTCCGTGGACTTCCTCTTTTTGAAAAGCAAGAGACTGAGATGATGGAGGACTTTCGGATCGTACTCCTCGTCGTACCTGTCGTCCCAAAGCTGCCTCAGCTCCCTGTGCAAGTCGTCCGCGCGATTCTGAACGACATCCTCGACGTAGTCGGGATCACCCGGTGAAGTCGGTGAAAGCGGAGGAGTAGAACTCGGCGACCGATCCCAATGCACAGAAGACTCGCGGTCCGCCTGTACGCTGACGTCGGCGTCGGAGACGTTTTCGACGACAATTTCCGCCTCTTGCTCTCCCCAGGCTGAATAGCACCAGGGAGAGTGAGCACAACCGCCACCGCATCGTGTGCGTCGTTGCGCATGCCACGATCCGTAAAAGACGCGCCAACGGCAATGGAGCAGAAACGGGCGACTGCTCCGCAGACCGCGACGTGGTCGCCTTTGAGGTCGGCCGGAGTGGCATGGACCTCCCATACCTTCTCGTCGTTCTGCTGGCGCTGGTAAGCCTCCCGCGCCTCCTGGAAAGTGAGGTTGTCGTCGCCGACTACAAGCAGAACGACTGCCTGGTTTAGATTCTCAAGAATCTTGGCCAGGCCGTCCAGGTGCAAGCGGAGATGGCGAACTGTCCGCTTTCGAGTCTGGATGGTCGGCGGTTTCTTGCCGCACACGATGTGCATGTTGGCGATCACCACGTGGAACTTGTCATGGCCTGGTTTGTTCACCTCAAAATGTGAAATAACAGCATCAATCTCTCGGCCGCTAGGAGGCCTGTAAACTTTGCTGTGATCCAGAAACAGTTCCGCAGGCTGAGAAGCACCGCGGAACCCCCAGAGAGTCAAGTAGTTGTCGACCTCCGAGAAGCGAATGCCATCACCGAAAGGCTTACTGAGGACTCTGTCACGTTGATCCCTGCTCGGCGAAAGCCTTCACGGAACGCACCGACCTCGCAGCCACAGACAATATCAGCATCAGCGGTCTCCACTATCGTGGCGCACAACCTTCCGAAGTTAGCGCAGTGAGTGGCCGCCTGCTTACCAGTCATCATGCCCTGCTCGAACCCGAAATTGAACGAGGCGACCGTGAAAGACGCAGGCTGCACAGCGCCAGAACCAGGCGTCTGTCCACCTTCCTCCGCAGGCTGAGAAGCACCGCGAGGCGGCGCAGGCTGAGAAGCACCGCGAGGCGGCGACACTTCGGACGAGCCTCGCGGAGCAGAGGCTGCGGATGAACGTTGGACATGGGGGTACGGCCAGGGGAACGCCATTGCAATCAAAACTCAGTGGTCTGCAGTGAATGAATGCAGTGGCACGATTGAATGCAGAGGACTGCAGTGTCACTAGCAAGTCCTGAACCAAACACAGCTGTGGCGGAAGGAGTATGAAGCGTCTGGCTATTCAAAATGTGGCCCGGGAATGGAGTTCTGGGAACTCGAAGACCAGGAAGTGGACTAGAGTTGGCTCCGGGCATCCAAAATGTGGCCCGGGAATGGAGTTCTGGGAAATGGAAGAGCACGAAGTGGCTTACAGTTGGCTCCGGGCATCCAAAATGTGGCCCGGGAATGGAGTTCTGGGAAATGGAAGAGCACGAAGTGGCCTACAGTTGGATCCGGCCCCCCAGAATGTGGCCCGGGAATGGAGTTCTGGGAAATCGAAGAGCACGAAGTGGCCTACAGTTGCATCCGGCCCCCCAGAATGTGGCCTGGGAATGGAGTTCTGGGAAGGCGAAGAGCACGAAGTGTGTGACTGTTGGTGAAAAACGAGCCCGGCTCACTGCCGCCCGGCAACTCCCAACACCTGCCCGGACCCCCCTGTGGAGTGATCTGCTGCTCTCTTTTGATCCCACTAGAAGCCTATCAGTCTTCGCTGTTAGCGACGACGACGACGACGACGACGACGAAGACGACCGCCTCCAACGGATTCACAAAAATCAAGGCGGAAGGTGTTTAACGCCGTCTTCAGCCCCTGCAGGGGCCGCCCCGCCGACCCCAGGGGCCGTCAGGTGCCGGCTCGGGGCGGAGGGAGGTCCCTCGGGGAAGGGGTCTCGAGTCGGAGTGTCTCGGGCCGGACGAATGGGGGGGATTGGGAAACGGGGGGTTACGAAATTTGCTGCATGCAGCTGGTTTCGGCCCCACCGAGGGACCCATTCCTCGATACATAGTCGCCTCCAGCGCCAGGAGGCGCCGGGAAAGTCAGCTACGTGAGCTGATTCTCAAACCTCCCGTTTGCTATCCCCCCCTTTCGCCCGACCCGAGAGTCGGAGTGTCGGAGTGTCGGGGGAATCCGACCGGGCAGGAGGTCTCGACGGGAGGTCGAGGGGGGGAGGTCCGTGTGAAGGAAGGGAGGAGGTCGAAGGAGGTCTCGACGGGGAGGAGGCCTCGACCGTGTTGAAGGGGCCGAGGGAGGTCCCCCGGGGGAGGGGTCTCGAGACTTCTGGGGGACCCCGTGTCGGAGCGTCTTCGGGTGCGCGGCGTTCGGCGTGGCCGCCCTTTGTCGCACCGCGTGCCACGATCGGCAGGCTTCGCATCCAGAGCCACCGCTGCCTGGGGTCAAGTCGGGCAGGTCCCCCTGCAGGGGGATTTTCGACGAAAAATGAAAATGCCACAGAAATAGTCAAAACATAGTCCAAAAATAGTCCAGGGGGTATTTGTGGCGTATTTTTTATTTTTCGTCGAAAATTCTCCTGTAGGGGGACCCGCCCGACATAAGCCTGGGGTCACTCTGTGGCGTGCGGCCGGGGCGACGGCAACGGCATCGACGATCGCGGCGGCGACGGCAGGGGCGAACGCGGCGGCGACGGCAACGACGATTGCGACGGCAACGGCGATCGCGAGGGTGACGGCAGTGGCGATATGGCCAGGGGGGCGTCGGCAACGCCGATGGCAACAGCGACGACAGTGGCGGCGGCAACGGCAACCGCCGCTGACGACGGCTGCGGCGACGACGGCGGCGGCAACGGCGCCCACGGCAGCAAAGTCGGCTGCGGCTTGGAGCACGCATCCGCTTGAACCGATCCTGGCAAAGCCGCCCCTGGGCTCAGGATCGGTGCATTGTGACGTCTCTCCCAGAGCCAGCGGGGCGGATGCACCGATCCTGGGCTCATCGCGTTCCATGCCAGCACCTAACAGGAGGGCAATGGACAAGTGTTGCAAGCTTGCGCAAGTGTTTACTTTTGTCAAGAACGCCCTGGGGAGGTAATTGCGTGGACAGACGCTGGCTATGCAGGGTGCAAGACGTCGCGGAAACCAACAAGCGGAGGTACAATGATGTTGCGGCCATACTTCCTTAAGCCGTGGAGTATATTGAGAGCGTGGTGTCATTATCATCTGCCAAACCCAAGTATTACAGGATGGTTAAAAGTTCCCAGCAGTGTTAGGATTGCAAGCGTTTCTCAAGGTTTTCGAAGTTGTCATTGGCATCCCGGTAGAGAGCGATGCAAGTGCAGCCATTGCCATTGCAGCAGCAGGCGCGGGCTTGGACAAGTCAGGCACATCGACGTGTGTCAGTTTCGGTACAAGAGAAAGTGCGGCGAGGAAACATCAGAGCGATCAAATTTGGACCTCACCAGAACCTGGCAGTTGCATGGATCAATAATGATCTGAGAAGTGGCGAATGTCCTTGCATATGCCAGGTGCTGACCAGCACCTTGTCAGCGGAAGACATGAGCTGGCACCCGCTAGTGAGTACTAGCTGAATCCACATCGGGCTTATCATCGAAAGCCGAGTTGCTGGGGATTTGAGTTCAGGACCAGTTGAGTCCAGGTGCCGGTCTGTGCGATTTCAGACCTGAACTACAGAAGGCGCGGTGTTTTGCTACATCGAAAGTTAAGAATCGCGTCCTAGCAGGTCCTTGTACGTTTACGCCCAGTTCATAATCGCCACTCGGTTGCACCCGTTGTGATTCCAATTTCCTCAAGGTGAATCCGGGCTTCGCTGCGCCGCCCTCTTGTTTCGCACTCGCCCATTACCCAGCCGATTTTGCTTCTTTCAGGAGGGGAAAACACACACAGACACAATTAATCGTTGCTTCCCCAGAAAGTATGGACAAATATGGGAAGTGGGGGGGAAGACGAAAACCCAACAAATATCTGAAACTATGTGGATTTGTTTTTATTTGTGTGTATTTATTTGTGTGTCCTGGGGCCCCTTCATTCTTCTATCCCAACCGTGTCCACAATCGGTTTACAAACCGAGAGGGGTGCTACATTGTACCGCTCCGACTTGGTGAGTAGGCGCATGGCCGTTTTGGAGAGCGCGATGCGCATGTCACGGAATTGGTGCGTGAACGTCGGGTCCGATGAGGGTCCGCGCCCGCACTGGGTCAAGATGCGTACACATCCAAAGAAACAGGTGCTTACCATATGCGAAGGAGGAAGATACTGAGGAAGGGAGACCGAAAGATGATGGAGGACGGGCAACGGCGAAGAGTCGGGAGGGATGGTGGAGGGGGAGGAGGAGAAGGAGGAGGAGGGAAGGCACGCTCCTGGAGCGGGGCCCGCCGCGCTCAGGGGCGACGTTAAGGTTTTCAACGAGATGCGCGAGGCTTCGCCGTCGCGCCCCGCGGCCGCCGGTCGCTTGCCGCAGCCTCGGGCGACGTCGACGACGACACTGACGACGACGCCATTGACGACGACGACGACGACGCCGTCGAAGGCGAAACCCGCGATGACGTCGTAGACGACGACGACGACGACGACGTCTTAGACGACAACGACGCAATTTCGTTGTTTTTGTTACCCCAAATCCTTAGGGGTGTGTGTTTTCTCTGGACACCCCGCGCAGGAACAGGAGCATTACCCCACCCACATCAACATCATCATCACCACCACCATCATTATAATCATTATCATCTTCATCACCACTCAGTCGCTAATTCAGTCAATCACCAAGTCATCATCATCAGCACCACCATCAGCATCGTCGACATCACTTCCACATTCACCCACAGTCACACACAAACGCTGTCTCTGACACACACACACACATGTTCACACACTCGTGCATTCATTTTGAAGAAGAATCAGGCGGCAGCCTCGTCTGTGAGTGAATTTCGAGGAATTCTCATGCGGGACCCCCCTCCCTATGCGGCCGCAGTTCATGATACGACTACGAACGGGTCATCGGGAATTTGTAGCCGTCGTCATGTTTGGGCTCCTGGGTCTTGAATTTTGGGGAAGTATAGGCAGGAGCCTCGTCCGTGAGTGAATTGCGAGGAAGTCTCAAGCGGGAACCCACTCCCTATGGGGCTGGCACTTCATGCTTTTCATCCGAGCGCGTTATCGGAAACTTGCAACCGTCGTCGTTTTGGGGCTCTTGAGGCCTGGATGCGGCGGGAGTTTCAGGTGGGCGTTGGCAATCCGAGCGATGTATGCCAAGTTAGTCGCCGACGAACTTGTTACTGTCCTGGTCCCGCGTGCCCGACATGGGGACTTCCTGCGGTTTCGCAGTAGCGTAGGACACAAAGGCGATCGAGGACCTGACGACGACGACGACGACGAGGAGACGGCGGCCGGGCGCAGGGGAAACTTTTTGTGTCCGGGCCAGGGATTTTGACCCATGCGCGGCCGAATCGGGGGTAGGGGTAACCTCTTGTCTCCAGGCCGGCGGTGGTAACCCATCGTTGGCCGAATGGCGATCATGCGGAACATGCTGATCCTGCGGCCGCCCCCGCGGGAGTTCCTGGAGGACGGGCCGCAGGCGTCCTTACGGGAGGCGCTTAGGGAGTTCGACAAGAGAGCGGGGAGATCCAGGGCTGATGCGGAGCAGCTCGCGGCAGAGCTGGGCTTCGTGCTGCCTCCCGCTTGAACGCGGCCGCGGCTAGCTCGGTGCCTGCGGGGTTGTCCCACTGGTTTGCTCCCGCGCCCCAGCGGTTCGCGGGGTTGTCCCAGCGGCCTGGCCCTCGGGGTTGTCCCAACGGCTGCGCGCTGTAGCCATTCGAGGATGCGCCCGTGCTGGCCGAGGCAGCGACGGCGCCGAAAAACATCGGCACTCGCGCTCGTGCAAGAGTTAGACAACAAAATGGCCGGGGGGGACATAGGAGGGCGAGGAGGGGGCAGCGCGTGGAGCGGGAGGACGGCCTGCGCCAGGGCAAGAAGGATAATGACGCAGGGGAGCCGATGAGGACGCCTCGCCGGTCACGAGGGCGACGGCGAGGGGCACTTCCAGATCTGCCGAGAGGGTTCCCATGGGTCCTGCCGTCCGCCGGAGCAATTCGGCCCTTTCCTGGCCCCTCCCCCGGGGTCTTCCAAAGACCCCCGCGTCCAGGGCAATTTGGGGGGGGGGGCGCCACGGGTTTTTTCGTCACATTGGGGGCGCGCATCAAGAAACCATATGCTTTTCGTCCGGGTATCCTGGGTGTCTTCGCTCCTCGCGCTGCGCGGAATTTCCCGCGGCTGTTGAAGGAGCTGCGGCGTTCTGGATGTTCCGGGTCTCCCCTCAGGTGCACCTCGCGCGCGGGCTCTCAGTTTTTATTGCGAGGGTTTCTTGCGGCCGCGCCCGCACTGTATGGGATAAGCCCTGGGGGGAGGCCTCGACCCTCGGTCGCCCCTTCCTCGCCGATTGGGGGCCCGACACCCCGCCCCGCCCCCGAGAGCGCGCGGCTCTGTCATCGGGGGGGCGATCGCCGATCCAGTGTCGACGCGTCGCCGAATCCAGGTCGACGGCCGTCCCCGCGTGGGCCGCCCCCCCCCCCCTTCCCCAAACGTTGCCCCAGCACCTCTGCGGATTCGCAGAGTCCTCTTCCTCCTTTCTCCTCCCCCTCCACCTCCTCCTCCTCTTCCTCCTCCTCCTCCTCCGCCTCTTTCTCCTCCTCTTTTTCCTCCTCTTCCCCCACCTCCGCCGCCTCTTCCGGCTTTCCCGCGTTTTTTCGTCACTCGTTCTCGCTGCTGGGCCCCCCTTTTGGATTGTTTCTTCTTAAAAAATGTGCGGCCCTCCCCCCTCCCACGAGGGCGCGAAGTGATTCGCGCTTCGCGGTCCTCGTTCGTTCGCCCCCTCCTCATCGTCCTCCTTCTCTCCTTCTCGGGGGCGGCGGCGCGAGCGCGCGAAGTTTTTCGCGCTGCGCTCAGCGCGGAGCGCGAAGTTGGGAGCCCTTGTCTTGTCGCCCTCCTCCCCCGCGCCTCCCCCCCCGAGGCCTTCGAGGTGCTGGGGGACAACGAGCAGCGGAGGTCCCACCCGCGCCCCGCCGGCAGAGGAGGAGAGCAGGCGCTCGAGGCAAGGAGGGATGGGCACAAACCTCCAACGTGTTGACTTATCGGGGGCGGCAAAGAGGGGGGTGATGACTAGGGGGGTGGATTTCATGGCGGGGGCCATGATATTTCCCCAGTTTTCATGGCGCCCCTTCTTATTTCATTACGTCCCTGTTCCCCCCGTTGGGCCGCGCACGTGCCGCCGGTCATGATTTGCACCCCCCTTTCTTGAACACCCCCCTCTTGGACGCTCCCGGGACTAAGACGACGACGGCGACGACGACGGCGGCGGCGGCGGCGGCGGCGGAGGCGGAGGCGGCGGCGGCGGTGGCGACGGCGGCGGCGGCGGCGACGGCGACGGCGACGGCGACGGCGACGGCGACGGCGTGGTGACGACGACGACCGCTTCCAACGTATCGGTAAAAACCGAGTCGGAGGTTATTCCCCGTTTTTGGCCTCTAGGGGGCATCGCCGGGTCCAGGGACCGTCAACATATTACTCAGGATAAGAAGCCGGTCTCAGGGAAGGGGTCGCGATCTTCGGGGACCTTGTATAGATAAAGTCAAGGTATCGGACCTCTAGGAGATATTGGAGGTAGGATGGTGGTGGGAGCAGAGACGGTTAAGGCATGGCTGCTGGACCAGCTCGGGAACGCAGAGGAGGTGGGCGGATGGAGGCGGATGGGAGGTTTGTGGAGGGCGGGGGCGGGGATGTGGAGGAGAGGGAAGCGGGATCGGAGGGGAGGGTGTGGAGAAGAGAGTTGAACGAGGATGGAACGGAGGAGTAGGAGGAGACGGAGATGGAGACAGAGGCGGAGGCGGAGGAGGAGGAGGCAGGCAGGGGAGGACGGGAGCCAGCTCACGGCGTTCGGCCGCTGGGGGGCCATGAGCCGCGATCGGACGCTTTCGCCGGCCAGCGCGAGGCTGCTTCAGGCGTTTGGATTTTCCGTAGGCGCGCACGCGTTACTTGAGATGACGAGTGGGCAGCCGCTGCTGGGATTCAGGAGGGGAAACAACACACAGACACAATTGTTGATTCCCAGAAAATATGGGGAAATATGGGAAGCGGGGGGGGAGGGAGACAGAAACCCAGAACACATGGGAAAATATGGGGATTTGTTTTATTTGTGTGTATTTATGTGTGTGTCCTAGGGCCCCTTCGCTGACGCGTGGGCAGCCGCCTGCTGGGCTGGCGCACGGAGGCTCTGATGCGGACCTGAGGCGGGCAGCACGGGGATCGCCCCCGCCTCCCCCTCCTGGCCTCCAGGATTGTCGAACTCAGGAGGGAACAAAAACAAACAGACACAATGAATCGTCGATCCCCCAAAAAATATAGGAAAATACGGGAAGCGGGGGGAAGACGAACATCCAAAAAATATAGAAAAATATGGGGAGTAGTTTTATTTGTGTGTATTTATTTGTGTGTCCCAGGGCCCCTTCACGAACATCCTCATGACCCCCCCTCCACCAACGGAAAAGATCTATCTCCCCCAGGGCACTCTAGACAAAAGGCTCCAGGATTCCCAATGGAAGCTCCCCCTCCCCTTCCCGGGAAGGAGGGATCGCCTCCGCCCCGCTTGCAAAGTGCCTGCTGTGTATGAGCCGAAGCGTCTGATCGCGAGTCACCCTGCCACAGGAGAGGCCTTCGACCACAGTTCGGCGCAGCCACGAGGCCGCGACTGCGGATCAGAAGCCAGGCAAACTTCATTCGAGCGGACGGCAGGGGGGGGGGGGGCAATAGACGTCGGGGGATCGAGGATGTCAAGGAAGTGGCCCGCAGGAGTCTTCCACGGCCTCTCGACTGCCACCGCGGGCCCCGCGTCCACTCCCCCCCCCGTTGACGAACACCCGATTCGTCCTCCATCCGAGGACGAGCGTGGCGCCCAGGAGCCGAGGGGGCAAAAGGAGGAAAGGAGGAGGAAAGGAGCCCGAGGAGGAAAGGAGGAAGGAGCCGCGGGGCGCGAAGCCCGAGGAGGAAAGGAGCCGAGGGCAGCCCACCGACGGCCACGGCGCCGGTAAGTGGGATTCGCTGTCCCCCCCTCTCCTGGCAAAGGATGCCACGCCAGACGCCTCAACGCGCAGGACTAGGCTACTTTCATCGGCGCGGGGATTGCGAGGGGGATAATGGGGATATTATCGGTGGATGCCAAAAGGTGGGCTACATCGGACCTAACCTAGCTGAGTACGAGAACGTTGCATGTGCCTAGAGTGGCTTCGCGGGATAATACCTCCGCTAAGTGGGTGGAACCCACTTAGCCCAGGTCGCTAATCCCCCTGAGCCGCTTCTGGCGCACGGGCGGCGTTGGGCCATATATGTGTGTGTGTGTATATATATATATATATATATATATATATATATATATCCCTGGGGGGCAGGCCGGGGGCCCACAAACAGGTGCCCCCACCCCCCATGGCGGGACGGGGGCTCATTTTCCTTGTGTTTTTTATAGGGTTTCTGCGTCCTGGGCCTCAGAGGCCGCCGCCTCCGACCCCCCATGGGCCAGGAGGGCCTCCAGAGGCTCCCAAGACGGCCCAAGCGGGCCCCGAGTCGCCGAAAGACCGCTCCAGGACGCCCAAGATACGCCCAAGACGGCCCGAGAGGCGCCCCAAGGCACTCCACGACGCTTCAAGACGCCTCTCCAGAGCGCTTCCAGAGGCCGAAATCGTCAATTTTACAAAGGTTGTCGACCGATTTTTCCAGCCTTTTCGGCTGTCCGACGTTCCAAGATGGCTCAATAGGCCCCCAAGAGCGCCCCAAGACGGCCCAAGAGGGCTCCAAGACGGCCCCAGAGTCGCCCAAGACAGCCCAACAGAGCCCCAAGACGGCCCCAAGATGCGCCCAAGAGGGGGACCACGCCTCCAAAATTCGACCCTCCGGCTTGAAGAGTGCCCCAGGAGGCCCCAAGGAGCCCCAAGAGGCCAACAGGCACCCAAGAGGCCCAAACGAGGCCTACAGAGGCCACAAAACAGCCCCGAGGAGGCCCCACAACGGTCCCAAAACGGCTACCGAGAAGCTGCTAAACTGCCTTCACGACGTCCCCGACAGGCCAACCACGAGATCCAAAGCAACACCCATGAGGCTTCTGACCCACCACCCAGGGCACCCTGGCGGCAGCAGTGGCAGCACTTGTGCACAGCATGTTCCGGCGGGAGCCTTCCGGAACACGCTGCAGGAGGAGGAGGAAGATCAGGAGGAGAGAGAGCTGGAGTGGGAGGAGGAGGAGGGGGACGAGGAGGAGGAAGAGGCCTCCCAGACAGCTCCAAGATAGCCGAAGAGGCTTCCAAGAGGGCCCTGGGCGGCCCACGAGGGCCCCAAGGTGGTGCCTGAGGCTCCCACGAAGGCCCGAGAGGGCCCCAAGACGGCCCCAAGAGAGGCCCAAGAAGGGAAACACGAACCGAGAATCCGAGCTTTCTACCCCGAGAGGGTCTCGGGAAGTCTCAAGAGGCCCCCAATCGGATCCAAGAGGCCCCCAAGAAGCTCCCAAGAGGGCCGACGAGGTTCCAAGAGATCTCCCAAGGTGGCCCCAAGAGGCACAACACATTGTTTTACTATTGGGCTTTGACGTTTTTTTTCGGCCTTTTGGCATCCCGATGCTCCAAGACGGCCCAAGAGGCTTCCAATACCGCTCCCATATATAGAGGAAGAGGCCTCCAAGAGGGCCCCAAGACGGCCCGCGAGGGCCCCAAGACGGTGCTTGAGGCGCCCAAGACGGCCCGAGAGGGCCCCAAGAGCCCCAAGAGAGGCCCAAGAAGGGTAACGCGACCCAACAGCAGAGCGGTCCCCCCACAAGGCCCACAGGAGGCCGCAAGAGGCCCCCAAGTGGTCCGACGAGGACCCCAAAAGCTTCCCCGAGGGCCTAGAAGGCCACCAGGAGACTTCCAAGATGCTTTCAACTAGCCCAAGAGTGCCCCAAATGCATCAAAACTGCTTCCAGGAAGCCCCTGGGAGGCTTCCGGATTGCCTCAATCTGGCCGCAGGTGGCCTCAAGTCGGGCCTCCACGCAGCCAAGACGGCCAATGACGGCTTCAGATTGCAGAACCGATACCCCCAAGGGACCCTCAGACGCCCCCCCAAGAAGCACCCAAGAGGTGCTTCCAACAGCCAGTTGACGAAGCATGAAGCTCCTCAGATGCCGTCGCGCGCCTGTGCTTGATAGCGTTGTCCAAGGTCGCCCAGCGCCCCCCCGGCCTGGGCTAGAACCTGAGCGCGCGCGAAGCGCGCGCGATGGTTCTAACCCAGGGGCCCGAAAACAGCTGCCCGACCTTCCATGCGAGTACCGGGGCTCATTTTCGCTGTGTTTTCACTGGGTTTCGGCGTCCCGGGCCTCGGAGGCCGCCGCGATGGTCCCTGACATTTTCCAGATCCTCGGCGCGGGCTCCAAGACTCAGGAGCGAAACAAGGACGTACATGTACATGAATCCACGCTGGTTTCGAGAGCACGCACTGCACAAATGTTCGTATAACGCGGCGGGTCTCGCGAGGGGCCGTGTTCATGTACATAGCTTGGCGCGTACGTCCTTTGTGGGTTCCCTAAACACCATTCCGCAGAGGGCTCCAACAGGCTCCAGGGCAGCCCAAGAGGGCTCCAAGACGGCTCCAGGAACGACTGCAGGGTCTCATTTTTTTTTTGTTTTCTGCAAGACGGCTCCAAGAAGACTGCATGTCTTCTGAGGATGGCTTCCGCCTCTTGCCCCGAGCATCCCAAACTGCCTGAACGGTTCCCACTCGCCTTCCTCAAACCCAGCGCTTGCCCAAGCGCGTTCCGGACGGTCTTCGCCGGAACGCGCTGGAATGATCACGCGCTGCGGTTTCCCATGCCAACGTCCTCGGACGTGGGCGCCCTGCCACGAGCGCGTTCCGGGAAGATGCTCCTGGAACGCGCTGAAAAGATATGGCCACATCTCGGGGACGCTCCCAGCACTGCTGCCCCAGCCTTTCTGGGCAGCCTCCACAGCGCTCCAGGAGGGCCCAAGACGCCCCC